ATAGTTAATTTGTCGCAAAGTTTATTACTGTATAAGAGAAGTAATTTTCCAAGTCTGTCTACCATTTTAAGGTGGACGGAACCGATTTATACCTTGATCTCACCCTGCATGCAGCATAAAGTTGTTCTTCTTGCAATAAAGCTTTGGGTAAGAATACCCGGTGATAGTCCGTCGGCACTCTTCAACTATTTGTGCGTCAACTTTCACAAATGTGTTAGCGTAGCATTTTAATGTTTAATTTCATCAGAATTTTGTGCAGCGAGTTGTGAATTCACGATTGACTTCAAACTTGCAGATATCCGGTCAAACTTGATAGTTCTAAGGCTTATTTGATGAAGTTAGGGAAAAATCTGTCGTATGATTTCGAAGTTACTTTCATTTTTACTAGTAAAAGCCCGATTTTTAATAAATGCTGACTGGATATTTCACACTCTTTTAAATCTACAAGAAAATAAATAACATTTTCTTAAAGTTCCACCATTTTTTTATCAAGGTACCAAAAATCACAGAAATCGATTAAATCGTTACTGCTGAAAAACGCGTTTATAAATGGGTTCGTGCCACCTTAATTAACTAGTTCGAACACTTTGTTTATTTGGTAGCGTTAGCAACATGTCTGCGACGACAATGAAAACGTCACTTCAGAAGAGAATTCACGTTCCTTCAAACTTCATCTCCATTATTTCATAACTCTTCTACTTTGTCGATTGTAAGCGAATTGTCCAGGAAATGAATTTTTGTTCATTACGCACAACTATAGAAAAAAGGTGAAAACATTGTCGTCGCCTGTTTTTGTCCTCTACAAATTATTGCATCGGGAGATATCATTTGGTTGTCGTGAAGTTACGGTAAAGAAATATACCACAAAGCTTGATGCACGTGCAGAATTGTTGTTTTCCTAATTAGAGACCTTTTGCCGTTTTTGTTGCATCGTAGTTGCTTAAGTTCCCCGATAACTAAATTATTACTCTTCATAACCTAGTTTAGTTTGTTTGGTTATTGTAACATGAGTAAAAAGCACAACAGTTGGTTAATTGTCAAGATTAGTTAATTCTCCTTGAATTCCTTACGCATTTTGATTTGTCTTGCGCGCGTTGGGAATGGCGCACTATGACTTCCGGACTGTTAACAAAAACTGGCATTTCAGTGTCTGGTTTTTAAAATCTAACTGCAACTCTTTGCTGCCAACATTTTACAGTGCGACTACTGTAACCAGGGCCACCTAGTAACCAATCGGATTACAGGAAAATAACAATACATTCCAAGAAAGTTGGTTGTGGGCCAATCAGCAGCTCGTAAAAAAATAGATAAGTTACTTGAAGCACGAAATTTGAATATTAATAGCAAACGTTTTCAAGAAAGCAAAATGTTTCACCAGATGATTTTTTTCGCTTCGAAACTTACAAAGTAACATGCAAAAACATATTTGTTTGAAACAAGCTGTTATTTTGGCACCTACCAGCAATTTCTTCGCTACCATTGCGGCACTTTGCAATAAACATGAGACATCAAGTCGAAAATATATCACGGACTTTTCAGGAAACATACGACTTTCTTCAGTGGGTTCAAAAGGTCACGTCTCTAGATTGTTATTGATTGATTTCGATCCATGTTGTTGATTTCGTTTCATGGTACCGTATTTTCTCGATTTAACGCCAGGCCCCGAATAAACGCCGGGTCTTGCAGGGAAAGTTGTTGATACACCCCCCAGACGTTTATTTGTGGTATAATAAACTAACGGTATAAAGGCAAGATACACGGCTGTCAAGAAAAAGGCATAAAAACATTTCTTTAGAAACAGTAAGCTCGAATAACCTGCAAATTCAAACAAACGCCGGTCCACAAGGCCAAGTTTGAATTAAACGCCGGGGGCGTTAAATTGAGAAAATACGGTAATTATGATGGACAACTTACTTTCTCAGAATGTATTGTGATTTACTGTCATCTAATTGGTCAACCCCGGTTATATAGTAGTCGCACAGTAGTACTCAAGAGAATCTGTGATTTCTACAACTTTTGCCTGTCAACTTGTAATGTAATTATAGTGTAAAATAAAATAAACCAACGTTTTTGTTTTACATAACTTAGCTTTGCTTCTTCAGCGAGTCATTCAGCAAGTTACACCAAAATTGGTTTAAAACCTGAGTTAAACTGGGTCAATTTAGCGTTTGAATGATCAGTGTATTAAAATCTTCTCTAGGATGGTAAATGAACTTAATAAAACCCAATTTTTATGTTACGTAAGTGAAGTAGTCAGTTTAAATAGACATTTTTACCGATACGGCGGCCATATTGAATTCATTCGATTTAAGGAGTATTATAGGATGCCCAGGGGGCATGAGCACATTTCGTTTGTATTTTCGAGCGCTCTTCGGGACATTTTTTCTTAAGTTTTCTTAGAATACAATTGTATTGGGAAAAAAGAACCTTGTGCCGTGTTTGGATGTAATAATGATCGCCTTTTTCTAGTTTAGTATTAGAAATATGGTCTTTCACTGTACATTTCTCGGGAAAAAAGGCGATCATTATTACATCCAAACACGGCACAAGGATCTTTTTTCCCATTACAATCTTATTCTAAGAAAACTTTAAGAAAAAATGTCCCGAAAAGCACTCGAAAATACAATCGAAATGTGCTCATGCCCCTTGTGCATCCTATAATACTACTTAAATCGAATTAATTCAATATGGCCGCCGTATCGATAAAAAGGTCTATTGATGTAATTTTCAGTTTCGTCGGTTATAATTATTTTATCTATTTACAGTGAAACCTGTTTTAAGCGGACACCCTCTATTAAGCGGACAGTAGCCGAAGTCCCCAAATTTATTTCCTTTATTTTCTTCAAATGAAACCTTTATTAAGCGGACACCTCTATTAAGCGGACACGTACACCTAAAAAGTACCTTAAATGGTCATTTCTATTGTTGCCAACCTCTTTTAAACGGACACTTGTAATTAAATTCCACCACCCAACATGGCAGACACCGCAAATGCGAAAGATTGCCCGCCACAAATTTTTCGATTTTTACGGTGACTTGACCAACTTATTTGATTGGTTTCACAGTACAGTATTGTTTTCTATTTCTTTTTGTTTGTATGGAGCTTGTTTCACTCATCTGATTTCTTCAAATTTGAGTTGCAATCTATGTTTATGGTACTACGATCAATTATTGGTCCACTTTAATAAAGAAATAAAATGCAAACGTATGTCGTCATAGCCTCTGGGAGAATTCTAAACGTTTCCACTGTTCATTTGAATGGCATTTGACACTTCATATGACGTTATCTATCGAAACCTGCATTAGGCGGACACCCTGTATTAAGCGGACACTACAGCATTCCCCGAGGGTGTCCGGTTAAAGCAGGTTTCACTGTGTTTGTTTGTTTTTCTTTTTTTTTTCAGTAAATTCAGATTTTCATTATTTCATCTTGATCTTTCCTGGGTATATTACGAGGAGAGAGGACTGGGTTGATATGCTATCGTCTAAAGCTGAGGGGAACGTTTAATATTTCAAGTTTAGATAAAGACCAGTTAGCCAATATCCATGGACACTTCTGGAAAGAGCGTCTTAAACTTAAGAAACTTATCAAGTTTTAAGGTGATACACAGTAAAAGTGAGCGAAGATATTAATCCACAAAGTCGTGAAATGTGACAGACGTTTCAGCTTCTGGAGTTCGACTTCCTCACGGAGAACCTCGATAGTGGATGTTTAACTTGTGCTTATTCACTTTGATTTTCATTTAAACGCTTTCTTTATCACATGGTATCCTAAATGTGATATCTCGATGTAAATTTTGGAATAACGGATTTTTTAATACTTTCTTCCTCCTTTCACATACATTCTATTTTAAAACTCGCCCCAGTCCTCTCTCAAAAATCAAGCAAAATGCATTTCCTGCTTATCTCATGGTTTTAATAAGGACAGTGCTTCCTTTCGATGAGAAAAAAATTGGCACAAATCTATGTTCAGTTTTTTGGCAATTTTACTAAATTGTACGGATTGAGCTATCACGTGTCGAATAGCGCGTGTCCAATTTAATTCTACTTTGGAGCGTAAATAAAAACAAGGGCATTAAAAGGCATTTTTATGGTACGAAAGTGGATAAACAATACATTAAAGTCAAATTCTGTGCGATACCACATGCATCATTGAAAAAATCTTTCCTTTTTGTCTAGTTTTGGGCTGCGCGCGGNAAACCGCTCGCAGCCCAAAACTAGACAAAAAGGAAAGATTTTTTCAATGATGCATATGGTATCGCACAGAATTTGACTTTAATGTATTGTTTATCCACTTACGTACTAGAAAAATGCCTTTTAATGCCCTTGTTTTTACTTTACGCTCCAAAGTAGAATTAAATTGGACACGCGCTATTCGACACGTGATAGCTCAATCCGTACAATTTAGTAAAATTGCCAAAAAACTGAACATAGATTTGTGCCAATTTTTTTCTCTTTTTTCGCCGGCCCCTCGCGGCTTCGCCGCTCGCTCGCGCGTTCTCGCGAGACTCGCTTCACTCGCCCAAATAGGAGAGCTTGCTCGCAGGCTACACAGTTTTCGCTGATCAGAACTGTTTTGCTGGATATGATTGGTGTAATAATCAGAGCGAGCTTGGTTCATCAAGTATATTGCGTGGTTTTTCTTCTTTTTGAAAACACTTAGATCCTTTGCAGATTTAGAATAGCGCCATTTCCTCTCAACTCTCCGCCTAGCCTTAATAGCATCCTTAATTTCGTGGTTAAACCAAGGCAAGCTTCCTATTAGCAACAAACTTAGTTCTCAGAGGGGCATATTTATCAAGTAGCGACGACAGTGTCTTTCCTATATGGCAGTACCCCTCCCTCCCCGCAGCCTTTCCCGCTTTCTTCCCGCTTTACAAAGAGTGAGCCTCGCAATCATGGTACAGCCTCGCCATCACGTCGGGAAAGATTTGTCGACATGGCGATCTATGGAGCAAGGGACAAGGAATTTTTCACCTTGGCCCTTTTTTTAATTTGCCACCGAACTAAATATCTTTTTTTAACAGGTGGCTCATTGCATTAATCGTGAGGTAGCGAAAACGGATTTTAGGATCAAAGAATGGCGGATACTAGGTTGAAAATATTTTTGCTTTGTACTATGTTCGTCGCTACAGCATCGCTGCTTGTCATGTTTTATTACTCCGAGGCGGCTTCAAGGTATACGAGAATAGGATTAAACTACATAGAAGTGTTCCGGAGTAAGCTTAACTATGTAGGTTCTAGGACAAAAGAACGCGGCTGGATGATTACGAACAATACATCCCAATGGGACGAATTAATCTTAAATTCTTCGACGCACGATCCTTACACGCCTGAGAGCGTGCCCTCAACGTCATCTTTCGCGCCGGAGGCGAATTGGACTACGGATAGGGATAAACTTACCGAGGAGTCAACGCAGCAAGTAATAACAAAACGAAATGTTCAAGAAGAAACTAAGCCATTATCAACAACGTCAAGTGAAATTCAACAAGCAAAAGAACTATGTCCCAGCGGGTCGAAGCAAGGTTTGTATAAGTTTGTAAGCTTATACGAACCTGCCTTTTGTCTTCATAATTTTACTTGAGTACCTAGTATTGATATTTTAAAGCAGGCCAATTTGCTTTGAATTGCATTAATCTTACCTGCTATGCTCCCTATGGAAAATTCTAAACAAAAGCCAATGCGTAAATTGCGTGACTGCTAGAAAATTGTTGATCAAAAGATCTCATAGTCGTTTGCAACCCGAACGAATGTTTAATCGTGCCATTGAAGCGAGTATTGAAGTAGACTTTGTAATAAGACATGCTAAATAAAAATAATTTCGTAAACTGCACTGTTTCCCAAAGGGTTTTAACATTCGCTAAGTCAAAGGAAAAAAATATTTAAGCTTATTTAGTGGCAGGTAAGTTTAATTGAAATGAACCTGTATTCAATAATCAGCCAAATGGAAGGGCTCATTAATTTACATTTCAATTTCCTGTTCGATTTTGAAGAAAGTAGGGTGTTCTGCAGTTGCTTCAAAATAGAAACCCAAGTACTTTATAAACTTTCCAGGTTTTGCTAGTCTGAAACGAGGAAATTTCAAATTACATAATTTTTTGTATTTTCTGCGTTGTTTGTTTAGGGAAGTTATATTGGTCTGCAAGCAAATGTAATAATTATTTTGCCTATAAAACAAAAGAATCCTTTATTTTGCAGCCAATAGGTCTTTTACCAAGGGACTGACAAAATTTGTTCGCTATAACAAGGTTTTGTATCGAGGTCCTTTTTCCATATTATTTTACTATTATTGAGGTAAAGAAAATTAATCATTCGTAATCTATTTTTATTATGATTTTTTTTTGACGAAATTGTAGGTAACAACTTATTCAAGTTTTATTTAGTTCCTTTGGAATAAATTATTATTGTAGATAATTTTTGAATTTTTTTTCTTATTGGTAGTCTTTACACTAGAGCCTAAATAAGCTAAGAAATAATTATTTCAAGACAAGTAAATTTTAATTACTTCAAGTAAAGTAAAGCTTCACACACAACCAATTCTTTTTTACTTCAGGTTAACTTAAGGCCATTTTCCCTTAAAACATAATTAAGATTGATTGACATGTTTTGCCTCTCTCAAAGTTTAAGAAACTGCAAGTCAGCTTAGTCGGCCATAAGGATGGTTTTCAAGTTGCTTGAAACTTTCTTGAATTGTTTCAACTTTCCAACTTTACTGAGATGCATAGTATAGTTACTTGAGATTTTACCTTGGCCTTCACACATAAATTTTTGGCTAAATAAAACTTAGCAGCTCTTAAGTCTTACTTAACAGCCTAGTGTAAGGACAATCATTGTATGAGTTGCGAAAGTCCCTAAATTGCAAAAAAAAAATAAAAATAATAATAAATAAATAAAATAATAGTAATAATGATAAAAATTAACATCACCTACATGGTAGCTAACTCTGAAAATGTACTTTGTTGATTTCTTCTTTTTAGTGGGACCACTATATGTTGACCAAACAGTGCCTAAAGAGAAAGACCTTGAAAGAGAAATGTCTAGTGAGTTTGATGGCTGGGTCAATAAAGGCGGATGCTGGAGGCCAACTGAATGCCAGGCAAAGGTCAAGGTGAGGTTATTAGCAACTTTTAAATTGTCAGTATCAAAACATTTCTACTGCTTTCTTTTCAATAGAGTTGACAGGGGTGTTATTTTGAAACGTCTGGGGGCGTGCTTTCCCATTAAGCCCCAATATCCACATGCAAATTCTTCAGACTGATATTCATACATTCCCTAGAGATAAGTTGAGGGAGTTTAATAAAAGAACAAAGCATTTTCTCTTTGGTGATCATTTGATTAATTCTCATAACCATTTCTCTTAACAACATATGGATATTGTTAGGAGAAAATTCATGTTGGTCACTATTGGGACTAAAAGGTTTAAAAATATGTTGTCATTCAGATTTTACGATATATTTATTATGGTCTTTTTTTTGTTGAAAAGTAGCTGTCAGAGTAAAGTAGCCAATGTTTTTTTTTTGGTCGTTGGTACTTATTGAAACTCCAGGTTTGTGTAAAAAGAATTTAATTTTGAACAGGTAAAAAAGTCAGCAAACAATATTTTTGGTGATCCTACTATTCTATGGTGAGAGCATGGATTAATCAGTATCCAGTAGACAACACACTTGATATTCATTAGATCAGTTTTGCATTGTAGGCTATCTGCCAGCCTGAAATCATGATGTTAAAACTGCAATTATACAATCTCTCACCAGATGGCGCTTATAACTCCCTACCGTAACCGTTATGAGCAGCTCTTAATCTTTGTTCGTCACATGCACCCTATGCTTAAAAGGCAAAATTTAGACTACAGGATTTTTGTGATAGAGCAGGTATGTTTTTAAACTTAGCCGTATCATAACAACCCTCCAAGTTAAATTAATTTTTTTTGGTCACCATTTGGCAACCAACTCTTTTGGTTTAGGGAGACGTTTTTAATAAATCAAGTCACCGTCTCCAAAATTTTTGGTGCCATGGTGACCAAAATGGCTGCAACTTGGAGGGTTGCAGTACTATAGAAACACATGCAGTAGGATCTCAACTTTATAAAAGGTAATTTGACCACTGTATTCTTCCATAAGATCATCAAAAGTCAGAGCTACAGGTGGCCATCTTGACTGAGTCTAGCTTGACGATGACTAGCTCATCTGCTTAGGAAGCGGGGCACAGATTGGGAGGAGGCAAGTCCTGTATTTTTCTTGCCTCCTTCCCCTGCCATTATAAACACCAACACCGTACTGATGGAAATGGCTGCCAGCGATGGTGACCGCTTGATCTCGATGATCTTATGAGAAAACAGTGGACTGTGAATAGTTTGTAAGAATTCCAAGGCTGACCTTTCAAGTTCTAGAACCTTGTCAGGGGGGTGAAGGGCCACTGTCCTTACTCTATAGTTTTGAGTAATGTACACCAAAAGCTACAAATACACTTAAGCTTTATCTTGGAAAAGCAGGTTGGGCAAGTCATAGCAATTTTTGTGATGTACATGCCGCTGTTTCAATATTAGTGTTGTTGAAAATAAAGCCTTAGAATGGGACTGTGAAGTAGTATGGATTATTTCATCAAAGCATTTCCAAACTCAGCCACGCAGTTCATCATTTCTACTGATATAAAACGACAAAGGTAAATGTTTGTGCGGTTTTTTATGGCACTGACAACCATGAAGTTATGAACAAATTTTAAGGGATATTATTTTTACAGCTTCCGACACAACGTTGCAGTCTTCTTGCCTAGGCTTGAGGCTTAAATTGGACCAGCATGAATATTAATAATTATTGAAATAGCTGAATACCATAAGACTGTATTTACATGTAGTGATTATATTATTACATAACACAAGTATTACCGCTGCAACTGCAGATGGCCAGTTCAGAATTTTTGTTACTTACAATGTAATACAGTTACATGTAGTTCCCTCTAAAACAGATACCTGTGGGATCCAAACTATTTGTCTGTCTTAGAGATATGTCTGTCTTATAGGGAGTCAACTAATTGGTGGGAAGAAAGGCAGGGACCAACTCTTGGTGTCCATTTTACAAGGTGCTCTGATTTTATAGGGTATCTGTTAAGAGGGAGCTGACAGTGATCAAAATGATTTGTCAGCAGAGTAAAAATCCTTAGCCGCCTGAACTGCTTATGAAAATTAATGCTTTTGACTACTGTCTGTAACCCTCTCTCCTCGGTAAAGAGATGGAATTGAACTAATAATTGTTATGCTTTCATTTTCATTAACAGGCTGGAGAAACTCCATTCAACCGTGCCATGCTGTTTAATATTGGTTACAAAGAATCGCTGAAATTTGACCAGTATGATTGTTTCATTTTCCATGACATAGACTTGATACCAGAAGATGATCGCAATGAATACAGTTGTCCCTCCTCACCTAGACATCTGTCAGTGGCGATAGACAAATTTTCTTATCGGTATGTTTAACTGAACACTCTACAATCATGTATGTGCTCTTTTGTTCATATACAGCACCTGAGTCACAGAAGGAAATCAAGCATAACATACACAATGTTTTAGTTCTTTACTTTTTTTAGTTGCCCACCTACCCCTCCCTGAAGCCATCGTTTTGCCCTAAGTAAGAAGTAAAAGTTAATGTTCGCTTAGGGGAGGGGTAGGTGGGCGGTTTCTCATAAACCTAAATTGATCGTCTGCTCTTTCAGATGCAAAATAATTATCAGCTTACAAGTGACACAGTGATTTTGTTACCTCTGTGTCCTGCATCCCTGATGCATAAAAATCCCTAAAGACATAAAAAAAAATTTATGGCATGTTTCCCGTAGGACGCAATGGACGATTGATTGATTTGAAGATTTTTTAGTAGAATATCCTGTTTGTGTAATTTCTGTGGCTGTTGTTTAAAGATGCATATTTATTTTAGTCTTTTTTGTGCCTTAAATATAATATACATGTAGAAGGACAATATTTTAATTTACTGTAATGAAGAGTTTTGGTGTCTGTCTGGTTACATAAAGGCTCAAGCATTTTTAGTTAAGGACTCCTTGTTTGTTTTAACTGGGACTTATTCGTTATGGTCAGCGATTATTGAACAACTAAGGGTCATTGATTTTTTTTCCTGCCGTAAACAGCTAAGTTACCCATCTCAGATGTTTGGATGGTCAGAATTGTGTTAAATAAAGTTCAACCCTTGCTGTACTTGAGCAAAAATATCTGTGTACATTGTGTTCTTGGAATGGGGAGAGGCGGGGGGGGGGGGGGGGGTGGGGGGGGGTGTCGCGTGGTGTACTGTATGAAATCTTCCCTTGTTTCTCGTGGCTGGTAGTCAATGTGTTTGTGTATCAAGGTCTTCGCTGAGAGAGACACTTGTCAGTTGACTAATTCATAGGAACGATAAACAAATAAACTCGTATGTACGGGGAAGAGTGGGCGGGCAGGGGTGGGCTGTTTGGCTGATATCCCTGATCTGACTTTCAAAACCTTTCATTTTGTGTATTAAGGAGGAAGCCCTGTCTCTTTCGGTATTTTTCTATTGCATTAATTTGTGCTTTTCTCTGTTGCTGTCGCGGTTTAAGCCCATCTTTATGTTGTTTGTCATCATTGTCTTGTGTCGCTGTTTCAAGGCCATGTTGCTTGTCGGTATTTTACCCATACTGAACATGTACTCCTACACTTTATAACTTCTTATTTTGCTCACTTACATGACTGTATGTTTTTAATTCATTTGCATGCAGGTTACCTTATTCCACAATCTTTGGAGGAGCAGGCTCCTTTACAAAGCAACACTTTAACCTTATCAATGGATTTTCCAACAAGTTTTGGGGATGGGGTGGAGAAGATGATGACCTCTACAACAGGTACATTTATATGTGCAACCACTGTACTGTTAATATCTATGTCGCCTGCTTATTTTTCTGTGACTGATTTATTTTGTAACATGAAGATGATGTGAAGTTCAGAAATACAAATTTTTGGAAGGAGATAATTATGATCATCTCAGTGGTAACTGCAATTTAGGCAATTGCAAATATACCTCCCCCAGATTTTGGGACTTTAACAGGATTCAAATCCATGGCCTCTGCATTAGTGCAGTAGTGCTCTACCATTTGGGCTATGAAGACCCATACATTGGCAGCAGGCCAATTTGTTGACAACGAATGGCGGCTGCGTATTTCTGCTTCAATAAATCTTTGCATGTTGTCCAGGTGGACTGAAGACTTGGTGTTCCATGTCATCCATGTATCCAACAATTAAAAACCAACCTCTTCATGTTGGAATTGACAAAGAATGAAAATGGCACCCAAAAAAATGATCACCCTGTTGAGTGATCATCACGGCCTTTTGCTGTGAACACAGTAATTGCCTCTCGTTTGTAAAGTAACGATTTTTATGCCATGATATTGTTCTGAATGTAGACTCGGGTGTAATCACTTTTTAGTTGTTTTGCACATTTACCTTTCATATGACCTGTTGTTTAGCTTCAAAGAAAAACCCGTAGCACCAATCTTACCATAAATTCAATGTACATGTGATAGCTTTTATTTTTGTGATATGAGTAGAAACTTACCGTTTGCCCTCTAAGCCATCTCTTTCTCTAAAACTGTCTCTTCTTATGCCCTGTTTTAATATTTTTAGAATAGCTGCTAAGGGGCTGAAGCTAACTCGACCATCCATGGAATTAGGAAGGTATAAAATGGTACAGAAGTATCATAAATCTGCTCCTGCCGATGAAAAGAGGTGAGCAAAGCTTTAAAGTAATAAAAATAATAAATTATTAAAGATCCCACCCCCTTCCACTTAAGGGGCTTTTTCAGGGATAATGAATCAAGATAATTCAAATGGACCCTAATAAGGTTAAGAACTCCAAAATAGTTGGAGGCAAACCTTCTAGCTATCTCACCTCGGTGGCCTAGGATTTGAGATTGTGACTACAAAGAACAAATCCAGTCAGCTAGCAGTCAGGGGAATACCCTAACCCTGGGGCATCCAGTCTACAAGTCCAGCAGTGCAAAAGGGATACGTATGCATGCAATTTTGCCACTAGAAGTACAGTGTATGTGAGCACTGCCAGAGTTGTTATAAAATTATTGTAGTGTATGTTTGGGTCCAAGCTATTCTGCTCCTCCCCTTTCCCCAAAACAATTTTAAGTTATCAAGCTCAATACTGTTATAAGTTTGTCATGTCGCAATTTATTTGTAGTATGTCATATCAATATTCAGCATTGAGCAGAAGAGGGAGTTGGGGTTCAGGGTTAAGACTTGCTTTTCTCCAACAACTATAACCTTAATTAATTTGTATTTTCTACTCAATAGATGCATTAATTGTCAGTTTATAAAGCTCATAAAGCAGTTCTGACCCATAGTGGCCTATTTAAATACTTCCTTCCATAAGTATTCAGCCTTGATTTTTAACCAGCCGCTGAAGTACAGTTAGAAAGGCTCTAATTGCAATATCAGATAAAAACAAAACTGAAATGTAATTTGCTTTCATGTCAGTTTTAAGAACCAGAATTGAGAAATGTACTGCTTGGTAACGGTATAGCTGACCCTGTCACGTTTTTGGACCTGTAAAATGACAGTAATTTTTGGAATAGGCCATTTGCACTAAGAGGTCACGTGACATCATTATTTTTTATGAAAATGAAAGTTATGATTTTGCCCTCAAAAAACGAATAGTGGGTCACATCTTAAACAAAATAATAGTGATTTTTTAAAATGAGTAATTTCGTAGCTAGTCAGTACTGTCATGTGACCAAAAATAATGTGATTTTTAAATAAATTACCTCCTCTGAACCCTGAGAAATTTTGCACTTAAACTTCAAGGAAACTGTTGAAAAGATGATGTTGTAACGTTTTCAGCACATCTGAGTGTAACTCTCTAACGTTTAACAAGATACAAGTAAAAAGTAGTTTCGGCCGCCATGTTGGAGGGCAAGAGATGCCCTCCAACATGGCAGCCAATACAAATCATACTACTTTGTTGAAAAATCAAAGTGCCATAAACTATCTCCCTAAAATGCGTTTCCTCTCAAATTTCGGGTGTAAGATAATTTCTATGTGTTCCATCAATTTTTGGCATCAGCAAGATTCCAACTCATTGTTTAAAGGAAGTATTGGTCACGTGACCTCTTAATGCAAGTGGCCTATTCCGGTTAGGTCAAATTAGTCACATTATTTTGTCACACTATATTTTGGGGGGCAGAGGGATTGGGGAGGGATGTGTTAAAATAATGCTAATAGTTTCCTACCTAGAATGGTTAACTTGCTTATTTTTATTCATAATGATGGACTTTAAAAGTTACTATATACAGCCCTAGTACTCGTTTTTTCTGGTAAAGAAAGTCTTCCTCAAGGCTTCACAGAGATTCTGCATCATGCAGTGGTCCTCAGAGACAAGTTTTTGTGGTAGCCTGAGTGTGTACAGCTGCCTCTTCCCCTCAGAAAATATTACCTCATGGCAGCCCAGTTAAAATTACCTTTTGGCTATGTTTGTTTTTTGTAGGATGGAGAAGCTGCGGGACTCTGCAGCAAGGATGGCAACTGACGGTCTTAATTCTATGAAATATACTGTGAACAAGATAACAGAACACCTTCTCTACACTCAGGTGACAGCAGATGTCAAAGATGCTATGGAAAGTGAGAGATAGCATCATTTTACAAGCCATGTATGTTACTAGTTTGTAATAATTCATTATGCCCCCTCTACTGCAGGCAACCTTTTTCACAATACATCACTACTGTACCAGTACATACAGTCAAACCTCCTTCTTGTGGACTCCACCCTATTATTTAACAATTATTGCATGAGTGCATGTTAGATATGAGATGGCAGAGTGCGCCGCGTTGGCTATAATCATCTCATATTCAACCAGCTGTATTAAAAACGCCCACAAAATTATATCGAGAATTCTTTCCCGGCGACTTTATTTGTAAAAATAACCAATTTTTAGCTTGTCTTTAATTTTGAGCAGATGCTTACATTACCACTTTTGGAGAACATGGCTCATATACCATGATGGCTTAGCCAATCAGAGCTCTAGAATAGCATTATCCAATTGTTCAGTTTTTAATAACTACAGTTCTCTTGGTTCTACCCTGCAAGCTGAGGCTTCTTTTGTCTTTCGTCTTGATCAAGGAAGAGAAAAGGAGGCTTTGTATAAATCGTGTCAAGCCTTTGAAGTCTCTGCAGCGTGAACTTCCGAACTAGTTACAGTCACAACAAGTCAAGTGTACCCTGTAAGATTCTATTAATGAATTGATTATTTGAAAATTGAATCCAATAGTCGTTCCCATAACTAGTGTCAATTACAATTCAAATCAGCATTCCTGTTTATTCCTGTATAATGAGCAGTGAATATTTTACAAGAACTTCTCTGTATTTGGTCAGATTGAATATCTTTGAAGGGATGAAATTTTTTTAGAAGACATTTAGATCAAATGCAGGGAAACTGAGCTGGTAGAAATTTTCTAACTGTCTGGCGTGTGAATTCACGGATCATTACGCATGCAAGAATGCAGAGTTGAATCTAAAATCTACAACTACCACCAAATTTATCTTTCGAATAATAAATTCACTTATGGAATCTTGTGGGGGTACACTTGTTCCATCTTGACTGTAACCTTGTTTTTTCTCATCAAACTGGTTTTTGAGTGCAGGCATGTGGTCATAACTTGGTCAACTGTACTAAGTGCACAGGTATTAGGCCTGGATTGGAGACTGTCTCCCAGCAACATCTAGGGCAAAAATCAAACCAGTGATTAGAAAAGATTTTCTGGCAGGGTGTCTTTGCCCCAGGTGACACCCTCTGTACAGAGGACATTTGGCTCTGTCCCTTTGAATTCCAAATCAAGGGGGTTTGACTATATCAAGGACAGTAATGACAATGATGGAAACAAGTACTTTAAACAAGGTTAGTTTTCACACCTTCTAGTTTATTTTGTCCTCTGCAAAAAATACAGCCCGAAGCATCCTAATACAACCTACCGTAAAATTCTGAAAATAAGCCCAAGGGCTGATATTTTTCAGAGGCCCTTTTTGAGGGGCTTATTTTTGAAGGAGCTTATATTCGTGGGGCTTACGTACGGAGGGAAATTTGTGTTTCAAAATCGATTGGGCTAGCCGTGTTGTGGGAAGGAAATTTACCATTTTCGCTTTGTTTTACTTTGTATTCGAGGGCAAATTCCAAGTACAAGCCCCCCGGGGGCTTATATTTGGAGGGGCGATNCATCTTGACTGTAACCTTGTTTTTTCTCATCAAACTGGTTTTTGAGTGCAGGCATGTGGTCATAACTTGGTCAACTGTACTAAGTGCACAGGTATTAGGCCTGGATTGGAGACTGTCTCCCAGCAACATCTAGGGCAAAAATCAAACCAGTGATTAGAAAAGATTTTCTGGCAGGGTGTCTTTGCCCCAGGTGACACCCTCTGTACAGAGGACATTTGGCTCTGTCCCTTTGAATTCCAAATCAAGGGGGTTTGACTATATCAAGGACAGTAATGACAATGATGGAAACAAGTACTTTAAACAAGGTTAGTTTTCACACCTTCTAGTTTATTTTGTCCTCTGCAAAAAATACAGCCCGAAGCATCCTAATACAACCTACCGTAAAATTCTGAAAATAAGCCCAAGGGCTGATATTTTTCAGAGGCCCTTTTTGAGGGGCTTATTTTTGAAGGAGCTTATATTCGTGGGGCTTACGTACGGAGGGAAATTTGTGTTTCAAAATCGATTGGGCTAGCCGTGTTGTGGGAAGGAAATTTACCATTTTCGCTTTGTTTTACTTTGTATTCGAGGGCAAATTCCAAGTACAAGCCCCCCGGGGGCTTATATTTGGAGGGGCGATTTAACGGAGGCTTTTTGCATTACGATTTAGGGGGGCTTATTATGTATATTTGGAAGTGCTTATACATGGAGGGGCTTATTTTCGGAATTTTACGGTATTTTAGATAACAAGTTTTCCCTTCTTTTTCTTCAACTTAGAAGCTGTCCCGTAATATTTCTTATACCCCTGACAGAGTAAGGAGAAAAATTTGCCATATGTGAGCCATTTCTATTTGTACAGTTAGGTATTATCAAAATGTATTTATTATACATGTAATTTTATCAGATATTTATCTAACAAGATTCTTAAGGGTACTGTAACAAAAGACACTTTTCCTCAGTTTTATTTGATATTTTCTTCTAATTTACAATTAACTGAAAAATAGGCAGTTTTGTGTCTATCAATATATTTTGAAGCCTCTAGAACCTTTAAACACTTATTGGACAATAACTGGTTTGTTGTCGGCTAAAAGGATTCTCCTCCTTGTAGTGCTAACAGTATGTAATTTTGGTGAAAACTGTGAGGGCCTCAAGCCTCTCCCCACACGGCCAGCAACCCTTGCCTCCCGCATCCCAGCACTTACATGTAATTGCAGTCACACAGTTGAGGCCCTGTAAGGGAATATGTTAGGGTAAAGTTCGACAAGCAACATGGCCTTGAAACAGCGACATAGGGCAGCAGAAATGGCGACAAACGACACAAAGATGGGTTGAAACTGTGACAGCGACAGAGAAAAGCGCAAATACGATAGTGAAATATCAAGAGCGACATGGCTTCCTCCTCAACATCCTCCTCAACAATGTGAAACAACAGGTTTTGAATTTAAAAAAATAGAAAGGCAAGTAGGAATTATTAGCTTGGCTTAAACAATTCATGGCTTTCAATACTTGGTTCCATAGTCTCATGTAAATCCCATCAGTTTCTTGTATTTGTAATTTTCAAAAATAGCAGTTGATATGCCTTATTAATTCCCATTAATTGTGGCTTCCTACATTAATTTGCCCTTCTTTATTGGACAATGTTATTGCAATAAGGTCAAATCCTAGAAACGTGAAAGTAATGTTTTTTAACCCAGTTTTAATGCAAAATGTTTGAAAAGAAAAACATAAAGATAACTTCAGTTAATAACTTTGATATAAAATTTCCTGATATCAGTTTTTCTCAAACTCAGAAAATTGAACACCTGAAATATGACTGTCAGGAATGTTAATTGTGTTTTGACTATAATTATTGTTAAATGTTCATGAAACACAAGCAAGCAGCAGAACCGAAAACTAATTACCATTGTTACTTGTACACACTGTACGCTGATTGGCTTTTTCTTTACAACTCAGTAACATTTGACAAGTATTTCTGGTGTTGAGAGTTCACAGAAATGATATCATATTGTTGTACAAGTAGTACAGAGATCTATATTGTTTACCTATTTATTTGATTAAGCAAGTAAATAAAATTATGGTACAGTGGAGCCTGGATATAACGAACCTCTATTTAACGAGGTATAATGAACAATTTCCTTTACCCCAGTAATAGTCAAACATATGTAAAAGAACCTCGATAATTTATAACAAAACCTTGTTATAGCGAACACATTTTGCCAGTCCCTTGGCCCTTTGTTATATGGAGATTCCACTGTAATATTTCAAATGTTATTATTTATGCACGTTTTTTGGGTCCCGTCCCCTCTTCAAAATATTAGGGGTAGTGGTCAATGTTAAGCCAGGATGACTCTTAGATAATGTTTGAAATCTTGCTTACTTTGTGACATGAAATCAAGAGATCCAAAAAGTGGCTTATTTAAATTAATAAAAATATCCCCACTAGGACGTTGTCATTTTGGAAACAATGTTGTTATTTGATGTATAAATATTATTTTCTAAATTACTAGTGTTGATTCAGATGAGTTGATTGTTATAAGATATTTTTTAAAGATAATTAAAGACCTAGTGATTTTTTGGAAGTCTCTTTGGCTATTTCATTGAACTTGTTGCGATTTTCCCTCCACATTTTCTGAAGAAAGAAAACAAAAAGACTCAGTTAGTTTTGATGCATTTGTGATGAATCAGCTGTTTCTCTTTGACAGCAAGAAGCAACAACCTGAAGTGGGGAAGGGGGGAGGGGGGTCCACTGAAGTGCCCACCCACTGTAAGAACCCGGGGTTTGGGCCAGACATTTTCAAGTACAAATACTTTTTGGGGGGTACTAAGAAAATGGGATTTTTTGCTGGGCGAAGTCAAACTTTTGGGTATTATGACCAGTTGTTAAAGCACTCACTCATTTTAAAATTACCTTAGGGATTACTCACTTACAGTGTGACTACTGCAACCAGGGCCAATAACACAAGGTTGACCAATCAGATTACAGGAAAATAACAATGTAACAAAACAGTATATTACTGTGAGCACAAAATTCAAATATTGATGCAAATAATTATTTCCAAGAAAACCGAATTTATTTTTATTTGTTTGTCTGTCCAAGACTTCACAGGGAAATACGCACCCAGGAGACATTTGTTTGTTACAAGCTGTTTTTTTGTAATCTACCAGCAATTTCCTTGCGAACATTCCTGCACTTCCAATAACATGTGACCTCAAAACAAAAATGTGAAGGCATGTCTGGCTGAGTGGTTAATACCTCACGCACCGGATCTGGATGTCTGGGGTTCAAGCCTCATCCTTTCAGTTTGTCTTGGGATATCTGTAATACCCAGGAGAAATTCGAAACGATGGTGAGCAATGCACTTTTAAGCAAGGTGAATTAAGGGTTCATCTTTCCAGTTACTGGCAAACGTTTTCCAAATTTGGTTCACAGTATGACATTTAGCTGGTTATGAAGAATTTGCCAAGGAGGGGGAGGGGGGAACTTAAGCCAATCAGCTTTTGGGATGTGCAATAAAAGTGGCTATAAAGGATGAAAATAAGGCTTTTGTTGAGATGTTATTGTTTTTTCCCGATGACATCTTTTTTTTGTAGAGAAATGTTATCTGGTCTTAGTGCTTAGGATTAATACTCACTGATGCATCTACATTTGCACCACTTTCATCATTTGGTCCTGTGGAAAAAATATAGAAGAACAGAAAAATAAAGGTTTAGGAAGATTGCAAGTAAAATGAGTCTCACAGGGTCCTAAAATAAACTGCTTGGAGCTGAGAAGATTGTCATTTAACAAATAAAGAAGCCTTGATTTGCCCTATTTGAAGGCCAGGATTCGGGATTTTAAGGCATACTGGGTGTGAGATTCAGGATTGAGAGTATGCATGGGATGTGAGATGCTGGAAATACCCATCGGGATTATGGGTTGAGCAAAAATGTGTTTCGGGATGACAGGATTAAAGTTTCTATTATGGTCCCTCTTGTTCTTAAAAAGCGGCTAGAGCTGTGAGTTACAGGTTGTGGGTGTTTTATCTGAACTTTATTACGCATAAATTTTTATTACCAGATAAATCAAGATTTTAGAGCAAGTTAGAGGTTATATGTGTGCTGGATTAATTTTGTACCTGCGAGCATACTGATAACGGACAAAAGAATTTTTTCAACTGACTGCACAGGACTCCATCTCTCAGCACTGCTCTCATATCCCATAGGATCATCTCCAGGTGCATGAAGTAGATACACACTCTGCCATCTGGGTACACTAAGGAGTAAAGAGCATGATAACGTCAACATAGTTTTCATAAAGTATTGTTTAGATATGAGTTGTGCTAATCAATGAAATTTCTCATTAAAATGCAAGTGTTTGATTTCAGATGAAAAACATGTTTCATCTCAGATGAAAACATGGTGTTTTTTAGGTGTTTCATTAAGTATTGAGATTCGTCCACCTGACCCAAATGGTTGTCATTTATTAGCTTTTGTTGGCATGAATAATTAATGAGTTTGAGAATTACAGTTAAGGTCTTCATGGCCCAGTTTTGTATATTTCTTCCCTCAAATAATGTACCACAGCATCTATTTTCTCCAATTTTAGCTAGCATCTTCAATGTGGTGCTCATTCAAGAGCAGTGTTTATTTCAAAATCATATTATTTTCTTAGATCACTGACAACAATAATAATAATTATATAAATTTAGCCAGGGCGAAAAGCGAAAAGCTCTTGATAATATTTATAGTTGGCAGAAACAAAATATAAAATGATGTGGTGCAAAGCAGCAAAGGCAACGAGAACAGTGAAAAAACAAGAATAGGTCTAATTAGCGAAAAAGAAACTTTGCACGTGCAGCACACTTTTTTGTACATTTCTTTGCCACTGTTTTGCACGACTACAACGTAAAACTTCCAGAAACTTCCTAGTTACACATTTTATGACAGAAATGTCATATGTGTTCTTGTTCACTTTTTTTTTCACTGTCTCATTTTCACCTTTGGCCACTAGTATTTCTCATTTTCTCAACGCCGCTACAAATTTTTCATGTTGTCCTTCCAAATAAGAATGTCTCCTCTGTTTTTCATCTCTCGCTCTAGCTCTCTTTCACTCTTTTTGTCGTTGAGCTTCGCTGGCCTGTCGCCTGCATGTACTTTCTTTTTTTCTCTGTCTTTCTATTTCTCTGTATTCCAAATTGTGGACATGACAATTAATCTAAGCTTAATACTTTTAGACAACACAGATACAGTTGTCTCTGCCTCGTGAGACACGGATGGCTATGTGATTTCCCGCCAAAATAACCCTGTTGACTGAGTTATTTTACATTGGTATGCCTGTGGTGCAGACAGAAGGACATGCGGTTACGTGATTATCAGAATTTAAATTTTAAATTTAAAGTCATTAAAGGAATTCTATCACTTGAAAGCATTGATTACTTTGGAACAAGTGAATGCTTCAGTGGTCGAGAAGAATCTTAATGAGCCAAACTTTCGTGGTGAGGCTAACTGGTGGAGTGTTGTAAACTTTCATTGTATGCAAATGAGTCTTGTGATGAGCATGCGGCGGATATTTTTGGCAGTGATTGAAATGATACGCCATGTTTTTGCTCTTTGACAATGATGTCATTTCTCGCAAATCGAAGCCCGTGATATTATACAACAAATTCAGAAACAAATAGTTAAATACAATATAAAAAGTAAATATCTTGAGGAATAATATCCAAGCAAGCTAGACTTCATCCTCTTAAGAGTGTTTTTCTTTTCACTTACCATTGGGGTGAAACATTTCACAGGTAAATCTCATCTTGGGTGGGCTAAGAGGGTAGTAAGGCGGAAATACAAAGTCTTGTGGTGAATACACCCCCTTCAAATGGTGTCCCTTCAGGGCCCCTGTAATATAGAGTTGTTGCATCAGTGACATATACGGTGTGATGCATATAGAGCTATTTCGAGAATCGGAAAAATTGTGCATGCGACAATCCCGAAAGGCAATATGGGATATAATCAATACGCTGTTCCTGACACTGTGGCTGTGGAACCTACTTTTGTTGCTTTCCTTTAGCATTCGCAAACATAATTATGTCAATGGTCTCTCGTGCTATTCTTTCAAATTTCTTTGAAGAACAGTTCAGATGAAAACATGGTGTTTTTTAGGTGTTTCATTAAGTATTGAGATTCGTCCACCTGACCCAAATGGTTGTCATTTATTAGCTTTTGTTGGCATGAATAATTAATGAGTTTGAGAATTACAGTTAAGGTTTTCATGGCCCAGTTTTGTATATTTCTTCCCTCAAATAATGTACCACAGCATCTATTTTCTCAAATTTTAGCTAGCATCTTCAATGTGGTGCTCATTCAAGAGCAGTGTTTATTTCAAAATCATATTATTTTCTTAGATCACTGACAACAATAATAATAATTATATAGATTTAGCCAGGGCGAAAAGCGAAAAGCTCCTGATAATATTTATAGCTGGCACAAACAAAATATAAAATGATGTGGTGCAAAGCAGCAAAGGCAACGAGAACAGTGAAAAAACAACAATAGGTCTAATTAGCAAAAAAGCAACTTTGCACGTGCGGCACACTTTTTTGTACATTTCTTTGCCACTGTTTTGCACGACTACAACGTAAAACTTCCAGAAACTTCCTAGTTACACATTTTATGACAGAAATGTCATATGTGTTCTTGTTCACTTTTTTTTCACTGCTGCTCATTTTCACCTTTGGCCACCAGTATTTCTCATTTTCTCAACGCCGCTACAAAGTTTTCATGTTGTCCTTCCAAAAAATAATGTCTCTTCTGTTTTTCATCTCTCGCTCTAGCTGTCTTTCACTCTTTTTCTCATTGAGCTTCGCTGGCCTGTCGCCTGCATGTACTTTCTCTATGTAATAATATTTAGTTTAAATTGTAATTGAATATTCTACGTGTTAAGTTACTACTTATTCAATAAGTTTGTCAAATCCTGTAATGGAAATGTGAATAAAGTGTTGTTGTTGTCTCTTTTTCTCTGTCTTTCTATTTCTCGGTATTCCAAATTGTGGACACGACAATTAATCTAAGCTTAATACTTTTAGACAACACAGATACAGTTGTCTCTGCCTCATGAGACACGGATGGCTATGTGATTTCCCGCCAAAATAACCTTGTTGACTGAGTTATTTTACATTGGTATGCCTGTGGTGCAGACAGAAGGACATGCGGTTACGTGATTATCAGAATTTCTCGGAGGGGAAAATTACCACATTTTCTTAGGTAACGGGCTACACTCGTGGAGGTCCGCTAATCACCCTAAGTCATTACAGCGGTGATTATATTGGCGTGAACACCTAAAATATGTCTGGAATGTTTATTGTGTTGCAACCAATCACAGGTGATATCTTCACACCAAAGAAACCACAGGCAACGAACAGTTTCCGATCGGTCATGGAACAAATTATTTTCGTTTTGTTTAAGGATACAAACTGCCTTATTAGGAATTTAAAACACCGCTGTTCCCCAAGATCAGTACCGAGGACCGCATCCAGTACATCGTTCGATTTTAGAAAGAAAAGTTGTAGAAGCCAACGCGACGCGACGGCGACCAGCTTTCCATGTAACGACATATCACATGAAGACAATAAAAAATGAACAATCGTGATGTTTTCGTTTCTGATAGCACAATCCTTGCTAATATTTTTTTGTAGAACAAGGGGATTCGATTTGTGTGAACTAACGATTGAACCTGCGAACTACTATCCACTACCTACGATCAGGCGTCAGTGACTACCGATTTCGATCGTTACAAAAAGTTTGAAAACTCGCGCGCCAAACCGTCACATGCGTAGGCCCGGCACATCGGCTTTGTAATTTATTTCAAAATCGCTCAAACCTGTATTCTTCGCCATTATAGCAAATACTGTAAACAAATAGGAAGGAAAAGCAATTGTTTACTTGTAAAAAGACTGAATGTTAAAACAAAATGAAAATAATTTGTTCCGTGACAGATAGGAAACCGTTCGTTGCCTGTGGTTTCTGTGGTGTGATGATCTCGTCTGTGATTGGTTACATCACAATAAACATTCCAGACATATTTTAGGTGTTCACGCCAATATGATCAAGGCTGTAAAGGAATTCTGTCACTTGAAAGCATTGATTACTTTGGAACAAGTGAATGCTTCAGTGGTTGAGAAGAATCTTAATGAGCCAAACTTTCATGGTGAGGCTAACTGGTCGAGTGTTGTAAACTTTCATTGTATGCAAATGAGTCTTGTGATGAGCATGCGGCGGATTTTTTTGGCAGTGATTGAAATGATACGCCATGTTTTTGCTCTTTGACAATGATGTCATTTCTCTCAAATCGAAGCCCATGATTTTATACAACAAATTCAGAAACAAATAGTTAAATACAATATAAAAAGTAAATATCTTGAGGAATAATATCCAAGCAAGCTAGACTTCCTCCTCTTAAGAGTGTTTTTCTTTTTACTTACCATTGGGGTGAAACATTTCACAGGTAAATCTCATCTTGGGTGTGCTATGAGGGTAGTCAGGCGGAAATACAAGTCTTGTGCTGAATACACCCCCTTCAAATGGTTCCCTTCAGGGCCCCTGTAATATCGAGTTGTTGCATCAGTGACATATACGGTGTGATGAATATACAGCTATTTCGAGAATCGGAAAAATTGTGCTCGCGACAATCCCGAAAGGTAATATAGGATATAATCAATACGCTGTTCCTGACACTGTGGCTGTGGAACCTACTTTTGTTGCTTTCCTTTAGCATTCGCAAACATAATTATGTCAATGGTCTCTCGTGCTATTCTTTCAAATTTCTTTGAAGAACAGTGAACTCAAAACCACCCACAATACCTTTCGGGATTGTCACGTGCACTTCTTCCGACAACCTTTCTCGAAATAGCTGTATATTGTAGGGAAACCTCACATGAAGGGCCTTTTAAGACAAGCAGGGTTGTCATTAAAAGGCGGAAGCTGGGGATTTCACCCGGCTACTCTAAACATGGCCCCTGGCTATACTTTCAAAGGAAAATACAATGTAGAAGAAAGGCATGGAAAATTAAGATCATTTTCATAATTTCAAAATGGTGGCGCCAAGTACTGTAATGACAAACAACTCTAATTTCATTGCACTCAACATACAACTACAGCATTTGTGACTATTTGCTCACAAATTCTATTAGTGTCTCTAATGAGATATGACATTTCACCAGTTTCATGACTTGTACGAGTCGTACCATTCGACAGGGCCCCCCCTCATGACAACTTTGTTCACATATAGAAAAAATATATATAACATATGTAGAAGGCCTAAATGTAATAAACGGCCCGAAATGTAATAAAGTCCTAAATGTAATAACATTTTGTCCTAAATGTAATAAACTTTTAAGTTGCAAATTACAGTAATTACTCAAATAAGCGTCGTATTTAAGGAAATTTAATAAGCGATGCCAGGAGCCCAAAACTTCACGTAATGTAATGTAATGTAATGTAAAGGGACAAAATAAAAAAAAAAACTTTAAGCCTTAAATAGTTTTTCATACTTCATTTTTGTTAAAGAAATTTACTACAAAAACCGTGGACGAAGATCCTATTGCTTGTCAACGTTGGATCTCTAGAAAAGAGATCTAATCGTGCAGCTAAAATATTACTGCACAGCTGATAACAACGTTTATAAATATCTACGATAGTACACGCGCGCTCTGATTGGCCGAGAGATGTGTTTGCATGAGAGTATGTAAACATGTGTGGAGTCAAGATGTTTTGCTCTTCGCGCGCTAATCACAGAAGCACGAATTTTAAAAAGTTACTTTATTTACCCATTCCCTCGTCGGATGAGACTTGGAAAATCTCTACAGATATGCTGTGCCAATTTTTTTATGCTTAGGCTGACATTTTAAGCGAGAAAAACCCTTTTTTGGAAAACATCTTTATTGCAAACACGTACATTAAGCTTCGTGTACAAGACTTCGCGACAGGTAAGAATTTCTCCTTTAATCAGTAACCTAAACAAAGAGTTTTTCTTTTATCTCGGGAAAGTTACTTCATAAAAGCAACAGAAAACTTTTTTCCCGTGTTTGCATAGCCTGATATAAGAACTCGAGGCGTTGGGAGAATTCTTGACAGTTATGCAAACCCGAGACGACGTCGAGGGTTTGCAGTACTGTCTCGAATTCTCCCAACCCGTCGAGTGTTTATATCAGGCTATGCAAAAACAGGAAAAAAGCTTTCTGTTGTTTTAATATTGTTTTTTTAGAAAAATACTGTTACTTTGCTGTTTAAAAGCAATTTATCTGTAAACGTTAAGTTTCACAGTGCATAAGGAAATGTACCGAATTTACGCGAATTAGCGTTGCGGAGCTTACTAACTTTTTTCTCCAAAAATGCGGCGCTTATTTGAGAGTGGAGCTTAATTCCATAGTAATACCGCTTTGTTCCGTATTTACACGAATAAGCACCGCGGCGTTAATTAACTCCCCCCACCCGCCCCCAATGACGGCGCTTATTTAAGGGCGGCGCTTATTCGAGTAATTACTGTAATTGACCACCTAAGAGTTTATTACATTTAGGGCAAATTGTTATTACATTTAGGACAAAATGTTATCACATTTAGGACTCTTTATTACATTTAGGGCCGTTTATTACATTCAGAAACTCATAAGGGGTTGAATCAATCCCCGATGAGTTTCTGTTACATTTTAATAGGCCTTCTATATAGTTTCGTCTACTGAGATCTTCTGAGCCCGGCGTCAGTATAAACCAAACGCTACACTTGAGATATATAAAGCATTTCAGGATCGCTTGACTTTTCGTAATCGACATATGATAATTTACACTAGCTGGGATCTTTCGATTTTGTGAAATTCACAGAGAATATAGGACTGCCGGTCATTTAGTGTTTTGAAAACCTTGACCGGCAGTCGAGCTGAAAAAAGTTGAGTGTCACAAACAATGGTTTCATCTTCTGAGCCCAGCGTGATCTTGAGATCTATAAAGCATTTCAGGATCTCTTGACTTTTCTTAATCGACATATGACAGTTTGGTTCACTTGAATTTTTTTGGATTTGTGAAATTTACTGAAAAGACATGCACAGGACTCAGCCGGTCATTTAGTATTTTGAAAACCATGACCAGTTACCGGCCACTAATACTTAGCCACATTTTATTATTTATTCACTGCGAAGTTAGCAGGCTTTCTAAACGGATGGTTGGTTTTATATTGTTGCTTGTCTTTTTATATTGCTCAAATTATTTAGACTACAAGTACTATCGGATTCGGTCAATTGACACAAAATGGACACTTCACAGNACATTTTGTCCTAAATGTAATAAACTTTTAAGTTGCAAATTACAGTAATTACTCAAATAAGCGCCGTACTTAAGGAAATTTAATAAGCGATGCCAGGAGCCCATAACTTCACGTAATGTAATGTAATGTAAAGGGACAAAATAAAAAAAAACTTTAAGCCTTAAATAGTTTTTAGTATTTTGAAAACCATGACCAGTTACCGGCCACTAATACTTAGCCACATTTTATTATTTATTCAATGCGAAGTTAGCAGGCTTTCTAAACGGATGGTTGGTTTTATATTGTTGCTTGTCTTTTTATATTGCTCAAATTATTTAGACTACAAGTACTATCGGATTCGGTCAATTGACACAAAATGGACACTTCACAGACGTACTTGATGGTTTTTGTGGTCTTTCTGAACACGAACTTCAAGGTAAACCTTAGAGGAGTGAAATCGCTTATTTTGCTGTCAATTGAAGAGCCTTCAATTGGTCATTTTGATATTTCATCTTCCCCCTTTTTTTTTCAAAATGTATCTTTTACTGCTAATTTAAAAGCTGTAAGGTAGTGCAAAATGTTGGGTGAAAACGTTGCCCAAGAAAGCAAGCAATTTCAATTGTGGCTAAACCAAATGCTCACATGAAAAGATTCGTCTTGGGTTATAGGCGAATTGAAGTGTTTACGTGGAGAACACTTGTTCCGGGTACTTGGATCACCTTCTTTCTCAAAGAGGGTGACCCTTCTAGCCAAAGCAAAGTGTAATATCTCATGTAAACGGTCGACATAAATTTACAAAGAAATTAGGCAAAAGTTTGCTTTGCCAGGGCCTTGGGAAGAGGATATCCCCTGTACCAGAAACGACGGAGCAGCTAAACCGTTTTTGGCCTACGTAGCTTTTGTTATAAGGACATCTATCCGATTTTACGCTCATGAATTTGTAAACACACTCCCTCGGGGCTAAAAAACAAAATCATCAAATGCAACCAAAATCAATTTAGAAATATAACGCCTTGTACTTTGGGAGAGGTGACAATTTGATCAGCAGGAAATCTGACATTTCTGTGTATATCTTCAAGTAGCTTTACTGTGGTGCGACAAGGTTTTTCACAAGTTTGGAGCAACAGCGAAACAAATGAAGCGCTTATTATTTTGGCGCGTCACTCCCAGTTAAAGAAAAAAAGTCGTATAGAACTGTAGCGGCCTTATCACTTCTGCTCTGCCACTTGGGACAACATTTTCCCACGAACATCAGAAGATTTGTACTGCTCTCCAGGCAGAATTTTATATTCATCCTCTATTGATGACAACTTGCTAAGATGATTGATTCTTGTTTTTTAGGGTTTTGGGATCAACGCGGAAGATTGTAACTTGTTAAATCCCAAACAAAAAGCGGCCTGCTTTGATAAAGGGTAAGACGTCATGAATCTTTTTTTCCGATAAAATTTCCGGTATTTCTCCTCTCTGTGTAGTGACGTCATCTTCGAAAAGCGCGAAAAAAAAATTACTTTATTAAGAAAAATAAGTTTTTTGGAATGAGAATAATTTTGATTTTTAAATGAATTTATGCAGATGCCTCATCAAGATTTCCGGTGGGGAAACTTCCGGTATTGGTGGAGCCGGGGAACAAAGCTATCCTAGTACACTCCAGGCTTCCTCTCTTGCCATTATACCTTATGTGATCGATGCGAGTTTTCCCTTTTTCTCCCCAACTCCACCGACAAGCTTTGCTTTTTTCTTTAACCCACCGTATCAGTTTTTCCGCTCACCTTTGATCAAGAGAGAATGATACCTTGATGACCTTCGTGAAACTAGACCGCGCGGTCATGGGAACAAAATTCAAAAATAACCCTCGCAGCATGGCGCGAATTAAAAAAAGATTGAAAATAATTATCATAGGGCACAGGGATTCGCTCTCTTACCTCATTATCTCCTGCTTTGATAAGATCATTGTACTAAATAAGATAGGGTTACGGTTGTTATAGACAATTTATTGCCTAAAATAAACGGCCACTTAAGTGGCCCAAGTTTGCCAAAACTGGTGTACCATTTGTATTCTCATCAAACCGAGCTTCGCCAATGCAATCTCCCTGCACTTGAGTAGCAGGCGGCATAAAGGTAATTTATTTCACGGAAGTGAAATAAAACCAAGAGCCATAATGGGACTCTTGATAAAACATATAGCAAGAGAACCACCGAGCACTATAATCGATCGTCTAGCCTTAATGTGTGAAGTATGAAAGGTTGAAAATCACCAACTGCACGGGGCAAGAGTTTCTGTTCTAGATAAACAACATTAGCATAAATCTTCAGAGACGGATCCATGATTTTTTAAGGGGGCAGGTGTTGCACCTCCATTTTTCCTTTTCTTTTCTTTCTTTCTTTCTTTCTTTCTTTCTTTCTTTTTCTTTCCCTTTCTTTTCTTTTTTTGAAGCTAGAAGTGCACCATTTATGATTGGGACTCGATCACCAAATGAGTTAATAATATCAAATCCTTAATTACTGTAAGCATCCCCTGCACTCCTCCCCTAGATTCGCCTTTGTCACAAAATTTTTAAAATACTCATCCTTCTATTCCCTTCCATTACATATAAAAGAGCCTTGAAAAAGACAGATGACGCCGGAGATGTAGCATGGATAGAGACCTGTGTAGTGAAGTACTTTTGCCTGCAGCCCCTGCCAGGACAAGGTCCTAAGATGTTCAAGAAACCACAATTTGAAGAAGAGATGAAAAACTTCGTGCCCGGTGACTATTTTGAGGTAATATTGAGAATATTGAGATGGTGATCTTACCCCTATTACAGCGCTAGCTCTTTTGGTCTCCCATGAGAAAAAACAATAGACATGTTCCTAACACTAGAAGGGGCACCTTACCTTCAAAAAAAGAGTCTCTATTTAAATTCAGTTTCAGATATTCCGCATCCAAATTTCTTTACAATAGACGTTTCCCGAATTCGCTTGGCTGATTACGAAACAATGGTTGCAAGTCGAGACTGAACTTGATTCTTTTATTTATCAAGGCCAACCTCGACTTAAAACCATTGTTTCGTGATCATCCAAGCGAATTATTCGGGAAAGGTCTATTAGCATCAAGATAGCTCTTAGGTAAAAAATGCCTCAACCAAGTGAACCTGTAAATGATAGTTTTGGCGTAAACGGTCGTAGCAGCAGTAGCAGTAGCAGTAGCAGTAGCAGTAGCAGTAGCAGTAGCACTAGCAGTAGCAGTGGCATTAGTAGCAGCAGTAGCAGCAGCAGCTTTAATAACCAGTAGTAGTAGCAACAGAAGCAGCAGTAGCATCTTCTGTTAGGCCGAGAAGGTGAAATCCTTAAAGGCCCATAAATGAATTTAACCGCAATACGTTTGTACTTAGTACGCAGCCACAAGAATCGAGAATTTCTTTCTACGTAACCCGGACTGGAAAGTAACCAAGGCAAACCCAGATTACAAAGCCAATGGGTGCGTGAAGCTTCTCGCCATCACCGAAGCTCGATACCTGTACGTTACCTTTGTACTGTTCATACAGAGCGCTAAATCACTTACTGCATGTACTCAGGACAGCAATGGCAGGTACATACTCCCCACAGCCGNAAGGCAAACCCAGATTACAAAGCCAATGGGTGCGTGAAGCTTCTCGCCATCACCGAAGCTCGATACCTGTACGTTACCTTTGTACTGTTCATACAGAGCGCTAAATCACTTACTGCATGTACTCAGGACAGCAATGGCAGGTACATACTCCCCACAGCCGTGTGCTTCCCTCGACCCTACGGCAGCGCTACTTGTACATCGGATTACGATGTGGGATTAATTGGACACACCTCTGGGATCCTGACGGGCGCGTTCAACGAATATTTCCGGGAAAAATTCAACAAGCCGTCAGAAGAGGTGTTTGATACCAACGTCTATGCTTACACTCTGGAATACGCCATGCCGGAACTGTTTACTGGTATGACAGGATACTTTAAGAATATTGTGCCTTACTTGGATCTAAAGCCTTGGTATCAAATGCAAGAACTTGCCAGCGCATATTTTAAGGTAAAGAGTTGAAGGTAGAAATAACTCAAGAATGAAAATTTTTAAGATAATTCCGTACAAATAAAACCCAACATAGATTTTTCATGAAACTTGGTACAGTTATCAATGGAAACTCGTTAATTTCAAAACGAAATAAAAAAAGGAGGGTCAAGGTGTTCGTTTTTAAGCTATACGTTGGCAACATAGATTTACGTCATTCTGGTGGCGTACAAGAGCATTATTGATGGCAGAGGGAGGACTAAGGAGACTTTTTAGCGTGATAACTGTTATATAGTTCTTGCTGACTAAATAAAATGTAGATGTTTCAAAATAGTGGCTAAATAGTGTTTAGGAGGACGTGCTTGACAATATATTGTTCGGCAACATTGCTTTTCCTCCATTTCGAGTCATATCCGATCTAAAGAAGAGAAAAGTGAACTATCAATGTTATGCGCAGTAGAGGTGCGCGGTGCGAAACTACGGAATTAACTTAAAAAGTTAAAGTTGTTCTTTCGTGAGAACGTGATTAAAATAAGCTGATCGGGATTACCCTGACTTAATTCGGCATTCTGGGGGACGCTACTAGAGGTGGGTCCCATTTGGGCTATTCAGTGACAATGCCTCGAGGTTCCCCCTTTAGACTTAACTTTTCTCACTAGAGAAGTTTTCGTGTGGTTCTAAAGAGCGACGTCACGCGGCACCGTCACTCTACAGAATTTAGAGTAGTCGTTCGTTGATTGTCGAGTCCCCGAGATTCTTCTTATTCAATGAAGACAACATCGTTGCCATGGTACGGCACGTCTGTTCCGCGACTTTTCAACATAATTACCGTTTGTTGACAGATGGTCGTTAAAAGTATGCATATTTGCTTTTTTAACTCTTTCAATACAGATGTATAAATTCAGAGACTCGTTCTACAAAGAACTGAAAGACTACGCCCAAGCCAATCTTGGAGGGCTGGGGATAGTCAAGTCTGTACCGGATCGCAATCAGTATTTTACGACGCTCATCAAAAAGCTTGAGACTTGGGATAAAAACAAGAAGGGAGTCAAGAACATCAACGACTTGAGGGAACAACACAACAAGATATACGAAGAAAGAGTGAAAGGCGCTAAAGATCACTTTGACAAGAGGGAGAATTATCAAGAAATTGTTAAATATATGTCAGAGGTAAGATTAGTTATTGATTATTAGTGATATTGCATCGAATTTAAAGGGTACAAGCAATCTGTCGTTATTTAGCTGTATTATTGACCTTTTCTCAATTCAGCTCATGGCGATGAAGCTTGGGCTAGCTTCCATACAGGTGTTCATACTAGCTAGACCACAATGCAACATGCTCGTTATCTCAAAAATGCCCGTGCTCATTTTCTCCCGTGTTATTCACTGTTTCTACTCACAACGCCCTCATATTTTACCTTCCTACCTTTATTATTTTACCTGCATAAATTACGAGTTTATTTCTTTGTGTAAGAGACCATTTTTTGTGGGTATAGAGGAGGGGCTGGCGGGTTTCCAGAATGTCTATATGGATATTCACACCAACCCCTCTCCGTCTACATAGTTTTTACCTAACTCCCAATCTACATAAAAGATTTTTGGCATGCGTTCGATCCCCAATATGACCAAAATTTTCGGCTGACCCTCCCACTTTGGACCCAATTTCTACCCTCCAAACCCAAGAGTCGCCCCCCCCCCCAGCTCTCGATAAAAATAGAAATATAAAGCATTTGCCCTTCCCCTATGTGCATCGGCCCTCTTCTCCCCGGCCCCTCCCCACTAAGAATATTAGGGAGCTTTAGCATCGACGACAGCAACTGCAGCGAAAACGTCAGTTTTAAAATGAATTCCCGTTTTTTCAATCCTTGTCGGTTTTATACCAATTCGCTGAAAATGGCAAGTGTAGGCGAATTTCCCTGGAGTTGATTTCTTGAGGACCACACTCAAGTTTAGAGCAGAGAGAAAAAGATTCGTCGTCGCTTGTTTACGTCCTCCACAAAACTTGCAATTAGGCATTTTCACGTCGTAGTCGTGCAAGGACGGTAATGAAATGTACAAAAAAGCGTGATGCACGAGCAAAGTTGTTGTTTTGCGTAATAAACCTATTGCTTTTTTGACGTCCTCTTTGCCGTTGTCGTCGTCGTTGCTAAAGCTCCCTATTAGTCCCTCCCACCCGCCGCACAAACACAATGATAACATAGGTTGTTTTCATGCAATCTCGAGAGACACAAATAACAATGGTGAAATGAACAAATGCTGGTGGACAAACAAAGCGAGCTAATGAGCGATCTTTTGTTTACCGTCCACCAGCATGGCGGCGATGACGTAACGTGAAAACCACCTATTGAGGTATGAGTTGACAAGAAATTGCGTTTAATTTCTATGTGGTATCCCTGAAGGCCATGACGTATCTATGGTTCCTTTTCCTGAATCAGAGCTATATCTTGCTCTTTCTGTGAATCGAACCCGAGTCATCTCGAACAGGATTGGGTTTTCTAAATATTTGCTTAACTAATCATTATCAGTTAATAAAACTTTTAAGTTCCTACTGGCATTATGTCAAATAGAACAATATATTTCCTTCACAATGATCACCCACAATTATGGCTCTTGCCCACAAACGATTATAGTTATTGTAAAAAGCATTTGATAATGCTTGCTATATCAAGTTATTTTGTTGAAAATAACAGTGACAATTATAGTACAATTTAGATTCTGTTTTTTGCTTGACCAACTGCTAGAAATTATTATTCTTTCTAATGATTTGCAGAATCCTAAAAAAATCACAGCATTTAGGCCTAAAACGGTTTCTGAGTCGTTGACTTTTTACGATTTCACAGCTCTCTTTCCTTAAATAAAATTCTATGATCTATAATTAATAGAATCGGTTGTGTTAGCCTCTGTTGCAGACGTTTTTTGTGGTTCGCTTAAGCGAACTAGTTTATGAATAGTAAATCGTAAGAGTAATGGTCAAGAAGTGCAAATCAATCAAGCGAAATCTATCTTAAGTTTTGACTGGTAATGTGATTGCTTCATCGGTTACAATTACTTTCTATCGGTTCATACTCATCGCAACTGGTGTGAGCAAGGCTTTAGTTTTGCCACAGTTAAACTAACAAGAAACTATCCTTTGCTTGACATTCATGCGAAACAAAATCTAAGGTCAGCCCGGTTGAAACTTAATTATGCGATATGACACAAAACAATCTCTATTTACCCTTAAGTTAGTCGGATTTGAAATAGCAGTATTTTGGACAAAATGAATAATAAAGAAACTAAAAACACTGTATATATTATAATACGGTTTTTAGGGGGCTGTCGCCTCCTCAAAACAGTGCGACGTAGCTCCTTTAACGGATAAAGAAATGGTAGAATGTCACGACAATTAACGAGACGAGAAACATTTGAATCAAGGGAGACTGCATATAAACTATAGAAACCAAGGCAGAGTACTTTGATGACGGGTTACGGCGAGAGAGCGCTTCACTTTGAAAACTAGTGATGGTGAGGTCATCTAGATTCTCTTTCACCTGCAATTCGAGGCTGACTTTGGATTTAGCAAGCTCCCTTGCTGTGACAAACTGTTGTGAAGCTAGCTTAGCAGCTGCTTTTGTAAACTCCAAGCAGTCTGAGTCCAACTCACGATAGTTGCCGAGCTGGAGGGCAGTTATATACGCCAAAACTTCCAGTGCTTTGATGCTAGTAAGTATGTTACAACAGAGAAACAAACGGACATCCTCAAACTGTCTGGTCAGCAGATTGATATAAACAGCATATCGACTGGAATCGTCCGCCGAAAACGCCAAGTGCATACGAATAACATCAACTTCGAAAGAGGAACTGTACTCATGCCACCCTGTCGTGTTGTAGGGAGTTTCACGCGACTCTATAGGTATAAAATATAATACAGCGTGACTTTTTCGGATGCCGATGAAGCAATGGTATCCATCCCATTCATATTCAGTTGTCGAGTGCACATCTTCAATAAGATCTCGGCCTTTCTCTGCTAGGCCTTTTCCATCGGCCTGCAGACGGCTTGGAAGTACGTTCTGCCAGTCTTTGATTCGATCAAAAGTTGTCTCGGAAAGACCATCAACGTAGTGTGTCAGCTTGAACCCTTTTGATTCAGCTAGTGTGTCAAATTTAGCGAGATTACCGTCCAAATAAAGCCGCATAGTTTCTTGTGGTAAATCCTGCAAAACAAACAACAACTCCGATTCTACGTGGCGGTGGATTCAGTTTTATTCCCAGAATTCCAAACGATGTTTGGCGGGAAGGTTTCAAAACAAAGTTAGTTTATAATGTTGCTAAACTGTTTTTAAGAATCTTTCCATAATCAATTTTATAGGCTGCCCAATGCGAGCATTTTGCATAAGCCAAAGAAAAGAGAAAGCTATGGAGCAATGGATTATAATATTGAGTCAGTAAAGGTTACGGCATTAATGTTGTCATAGGGGGTTGGTCACACATTTTTGAACTTTTTGAAAGGGGTTGGCTGTCTCTAAAACTGCACATTAGAGGCGGGTAAATTGCAATTCCCGTATAGAAACAAGGAGGAGGGGTCATCACTTGTTTTTATCTCATTATAGGGCCAACAAAAAACGAGCTCCTTCAAATCGAATTTTACTGCGCCCCCCCCCCCTCCCCCTTACTTTATGACCAGTCCCTTAATGCACGGTCAGATATTTTCATATGTGCTAATACAAATGACGGTGGGGAGTGATCCACTGCGGGGAGGGTGGGGGAGTACTCCTTTTGTCCAAGTGGTAGGGGAGATCAGAGGTCTTATTTTGGAGTTGGAAAAATATTTTCCGTGTGAACTTTTAAGGGCTCCGACTCAAAAGTCAGTTACGTAACATGATTCCCTACCTTTTAGGGCCAATAGGCCATTTGCACTAAGAGGTCATGTGACATCGTTTAAATGAAACTGAAAGTTATATGATTTTGATTCGAAAAACGATTAGTGGATCATATCTTAAACAAAATAATAGTGATTTGGCTTTTCAAACCCGCACCATTTTCTTCAAATAAGTAAGTTCGTAAATAGTCACGTGATCAAAATGTAGCCTCTGTACAGACGTCCTCCCTCCCTCAAAATGTAATTTTTAAAATTATGAATTATCTCTTTCTGAACACAAATTTTGCTCTTAAACGTCAAGGAAAATGTTGAAAAGATGATGTGGTAACGTTTACAGCACATCTGAGCGAAAATATCAAACGTTTATCAAGATATAAGCAAAAAGTAGTTTTGGCCGCCATGTTAAAGGGCAAGAGTATGCCCTCCAACATGGCGGCCAATACAAATCATACTACTTTGTTGAAAAATCAAAGTGTCATAAAATATCTCCCTTATTGTTTAAAGGAACCATTGGCCACGTGACCTCTTAGTGCAATTGGCCTAATGCTATTAATTTTCTTCCTTGAACAACAAAAAGATGTTATCAGTTACTGACTACCGTAAACGATATCTGCAATCTATGGTCGGCCATTTGTTTCAAAATTATGACACGATATATGTTCGGTTTTTTCCCACGTATACTTGCAATCATTCCTGCTACTCGATAAACGTGCGTTTTTTTTGTCACGTATACTTGCGTTTTGTTCCCAAGTTTGTGACCATTTTCTTACAAACGCGCCTATATATGCGCACAAAAAAACCCATATATATGCGTTACAAACAAGCATGTGGTATATGCGGTCGCAGAAAGTCGCCGTACAAAAGGCACCGAATTATACCGCCAGCAAAAAAACCCCTTCATGTACGATGGAGCTGAAAAGTAACTTCAGTTTGAATCAAGCATGGCTGCAATGCCCGCGTTAATTTCGAGCAAGATTTGGTCCTTATTCATTATTTTATTATTTCCCTGGTATTCTCACTGACTTTAATAGCCTTCTACCTGCCTCTCTTTCCGTAGTGCTCCTCCACTTTAATTGTGATTTTCATGGTTAACTAACTCGTTCTCGTTCAACTTGCATAAAATGTCCCTCAGGTATCAATTTGCTATTAGTTCTCGAGCCCCGATTATTTGGAAGGATAGTTTATTTATAACTTCAGTTTGGCGTTTTTTTGCGGCCAATGGCAAATCAGTATTTTTGATTGTAGCAGCTAGTTTCGCTCTCTGCACCATAGTACGTATCAACCGACGAGGAACTGCATAACATTCATAACATTCGCATAGACACAACAGTAAATTCCTACGAAGGAACAACAAGACATCGCGCTTTTGTTTAAAGACTCACTTCTGATCTCAAAAAAAATTAAATCGGACTGCATCAGGCTATCAGCGGTGAGAATGATCTTGACTCGGCGCAAAGCATATTTCTCCATACTTGGCCGGTAGCTTTAGTTTAAGCTACCGTGTACAACTCAAATCTGAAGATCTCAGTCACTCTCCGTGAAAACTCAAAATCCTTGAAACAACACTTATGAGCAGGGCCCAGCGTCATACTGACATAGCAGCCCGGGAGGGGCGAGCAGGGAGGGGGGGGGGGGAAGTCAACAAATTCTTATTCAGCGGAGGCCCACCCCTTAACCTTTTATATACCATTTTTCACGATTTCGTATACCTTCTATTGACAAATGGTACTCCTTTCACATATCTTGCTTAGAACTTTGTATCCCTTTTAACTGCTGGAAACCTGCACTGTCATAAAATAGGAATCAGTCACAAATGTAGAACGCTTTCTCGACGGGTAAGGGGTTGGACCTCGGGGTGGAGCCTCCCCGTCAGGCCATCATAGGGAGTACCCTCTCCCTTGGCATAGCAGGAAATAATCACATTCCCGGACAAAGAAACTTACATGCAGGCATGTAGTTATTCCGCAGATCCAAGATTTACGGAGAAAACCATAGAAACTAAAATGTTTATTTAGGGCTCCGTAATATTAAATTAAAGCTTTAGGCTTAAACAGAGGTCAAAGAAAATTAAAACACTTTACAACTGCATGTCAACTCCTAGCAGGAACACCTAAAAAACCATAAACCACAGGAGATGATTACTCAGTATGCATGTAATTTTCTGTAGTGCTAGTAACTTTAACTTTAACTTTATTATTCCATATAGTACAAAACTCAGTAAAGCCAAAGCCGGGGGCTTATACGACCTGTGGTCAAAATGACAGAAATTATTTTATGTAGAAATGAAGCCACTGAAGGCGAAATTTCAAAACTAAAACAAGATACAAAACTTAAATTAAGTAATGCAAGCAGTCCTATAGCAGAGGTAAAACTAGAAGTACTAGTGACAAATAAACTAACAATAAACTATGATAATCCTGCGCTAATCCAATCCAGGCTTAAAAAGTAAAGTTTTAGTTTCTATTTAAAGTCAGTGTTGGTAAGGCTGTTACGGACAGTAAAGGGTATATCAGTGGGATATCCTTGGCCAAATAATTGGGGCTCGAGAACTAATAGCAAATTGATACCTGAGGGACATTTTATGCAAGTTGAACGAGAACGAGGTAGTTAACCATGAAAATCACAATTAAAGTGGAGGAGCACTACGGAAAGAGAGGCAGGTAGAAGGCTATTAAAGTCAGTGAGAATACTACGGAAATAATAAAAAGCTTCGAGACTAGGAGGCTTAGAACGTGTTCGTGGAGGCGAAAAGGTGATAATTCGCGTGCGAGAGAGAAAAGAAGAAAGGTCCCAAGGTCATGTCTCACATAACATCAAGAGCTTATGAGTCGTGTTTTGCCTGTCGGACGCTAATTTCTAACTGAATCGATCGTTGTTTCGGTCAGCATTTGTGAAGTAGCGTACACAGTCTCTCAAGAGACAATCCACGGATTCCAACAAATCCGTTGTCGGGGAGCCAACAACCACCACTACTGTGAGGGTAATGAATAAGAACTAAATCTTGCTCGAAAGAAACGCAGGTATTGCAGCCATGCTTGATTCGAACTAAGTTACTTTTCAGCTCCATCGCACACGAAGGGGTTTTTTGCTGACGGTATAATTCGGTGCCTCTTACATGACGACTTTCTGCGACTGCATATACCACATGCTTGTTTGTAACGCATATATATGGGTTTTTTTGTGCGCATATATATGCGCGTTTGTAAGAAAATGTCATATACTTGGGAATAAAACGCAAGTATACGTGACAAAAAAACGCACGTATATCGTGTAGCAGGAATGATTGCAAGTATACGTGGGAAAAAACCGCACGTATATCGTGTCATAATTTTGAAACAAATGGCCGACCATAGCAATCATCGGTTTTTCATCAGCTTATCAAAGTTTATCTTCTCTTTTGACAAAGACGTCATCAGTACAGTCGTACTCTTTAGGAGTTGAAATCAACATGGCTTCCAAAGTTCTTCTAACTTATGCGTACCTTTTAGAGGGTCACTTTTAAAACCGACCACCGATTACCCCTACCACTTGAACAAAGGGAGTACCCCTCCCCCTCCGCGGGGAGTCACTATTCTTGTGCAAGAGTGCCACTCAGTTATTGTTGTATGATGATGTCAGAGACGGCACATTATTTAATTTAACAAGGTCTCCTTTCTACATTAAGCATTATTTAGGCATCTAAGATTCCTTTTGTTTAGAGATAAATGACATATGAAACAGGTTCATGTAAACCAGACACCGCAGATTTTTCAACAAGATGTGTTGAAGGGATGAGGGGGGGTTCAATTATTTTTCATGTATTTGTGACTAGTTTTAACTTTCGGTAAGTATGCACCTATAAGAGGCAAGATGGCTACACGAAGTAATTTCATAGACCTTATTTAAGACAGTGACAGTTTGCCTATGACAGAAAAGGTCTATGGTTGACATGTGAATTCTCTAGCCCACCCCATACTCTGACTAATTTATCCATAAATACTTCTGTCTAAAAATTGCACTGTCATCAATCAACTCTTTGTGTCGTGTGTTGTTTCAGATGTCTGTAGCTCTAGTGTATGCAGCCGAGGCCTATCACACGCGAGGCGCTATGAGGCACGTGGTAGGCGATCTTCAAATGCATTCAGCTGTTGTCAAGGAAGGCACCACGGTGATGGATTACTGGGCGTCCATGATCGAGAACTGGGCTGATTCCAACAAGGAATATGAACACTGCACTGAACTCAAAGTCGAAGCCTGCCTCCTAAAAATGAGCAAGTACCTGCGCCGTACTTTCCACGCCATGAAAAGCATCTACAATATATTATCTAGGGTTCCTAACCCCGCAAATGCACTAAAGGCAGCCGGCCTTCTCCCAGTTTATCATTTACAGCCTGGAAAAGACCCAGAAACAATATCCCTGGAATGGGTTTCCAAGTATCGTGGTGTAAAAGATGAAATTCCCGACTTCGCAAAAAACATCAAGCCGTTCCTGGACACCGTTGGCTACAGTGGCCAGTCTCCAAACAAAGCACTGGATTTTGAATGCATGAAGGGAATCCAAGCTCAAGTGATGTCTTATAACAACATCCTGGTGTCTGCAACAGCTAAAGATTCACCGGCCATTCAAGCTATCTTTACTTTAATGCCCAATGGAAAACAGAAGACTCGGCCTGTCCCGTAGATCCGCGAGAGAGTCGAAGAAATCAAACAAGCAGTACATTGTATTACATGCTATAACGATATATTAGAGATCCATTTAACGCATGATTGTTTGTGCCGTAATATTTTGTTTTAACGAATGGAAAGTGAACTGGAAGGCATAAATGTTATGGCATTCTCTAATATGTGTTAAAAAATTAAAGAAATAAAATATACGTCTATGGACCCTTGATGCGAATGTTTCATGAAAATTATTCAAGGTGCTGTTACATATTAGGCAATTTCTCTGGTATAATTTCGCAGATTTGTTGCACGAGACATTGCCTAGTGTAACATACCAAAACTTTCTCGCCGCAACTGTTGGGATAAGTAAAACTAAGAGAGACACTTTAGGTATGTTACACAAGGCAATGTCTCGTGCAACTTGTGCAACAAATGTGGGAGACAAGTTGCTAGGAAAATTGCCTTGTGTATTAACGGCAACTCTAAGCTCAATGGATATATGCAGCACCAAGCATTTTCACAAATATGACATATGGTAGCAAAGGCCACAGTCTATCAAAACGTTTGCCGCTGAGACCTACAATCTTGAACAGATGGGTAGAGAATAATGTGAAAACTCTGACCGTATTTTCGACTTTTAAATGTTATGAACAACAAACTCCCCTTCCCCTTCAAGCAATGTTGGTCCAGCATAGTTGTCATCCTCGATTGTTTTCTGAGCAACATTGCTTTAAGGGGGAGGGGGATATGGATTTTTTTCGAGAACAAAACAAAACATATATATGGAATATTTGTTTGTAAATAGGAATTTTATGTTTTCTCTTTGCTATGGTTAGTTTGGATTTCATATGCTCTTATCACAAAGACACATTTTGTAATGTAATACTATCGTTATCTGTGAGGTTATGTAACAGCTTCAGTACATGTGAGGCCGGCATGGATTACAGTTATTCCATTACCCCCTTTTGGGCAATACTTTAAGTGAGCCATCGGATTGAGTGATTCATTCTAACATTGCCCTTGCGTTAGTTGGCACCTTCAAATTTTGTGACTTTCTCTACAGGTTTTGTCTAAGATTGTGGCTACTATTTTGACGAACCTTAGGCCAGTCAATCTCGCGTTATCGCAAAATGTTGCCGGCTTCAAGTGGTTAAATCGAATGAATGGGCTCTGACATTTTAGGAATGTAGATAAATCAATTTGGGACAATAACTACAGAGATAATGTCGAAGCATAGTATTGCAGGACGAAACCATTGCTCCGACATCGCTATCCACAACGACTAATCAAGGAACTCGGCCGAAGCGTATAGAGGTTAGTTGGCCCTTAGATCATGTAAGAATAACCCCTTGCTGTGACTTTATTATCAGTAACACCCACTGTGTCTGCTTTGGGAACTATTTTCTCCTTTGTCACTTTGGTCCACGTGGAAGGTGTGCGAACTTTTAAGCTGGACAAGACGACAGACGTGTGCAAACCATAGTGAATTCAGATGCATCGATTTACGTAGACGCACATTAGTATTTATAAGATCGTTACGTGTCTGTTTTACTCTGCAAACAATGATTGTGAGAAGGTTCGTGTTAAAGTAGAAGATTCCAGTCGAAAAAGAAATAAATAGATTCCAAAGATTCAAAGTTCCGTTCAATCCGCCATGCTTTATTGTTTTCTCTCGCCACAAGGGACCTTGCGCACTGGCCTAATTATAAATTCAACTAATTAACAATTCAACACATTCCCCCTATTGGGAAGCAAGGCTTCAATGTGTTTGCTGAACAACTTTAGATACAGTTCAACTTAATAAGTAACGAAATTCAACAAGAGTTTATTCTATATTGTTGTTCTCTTCCTAAGTGCCATTTATCTCTATAAAAGGATACAACGTCTGTAACAACCTCTACAAAGAAGTTGGTCTTCTCTTCTTTTACTTGACTTTCACAACTGCTACACGAACTTGTCAGATCCAGTGATTTTAATCACTAAAATGTCTCTATTCTGTCGAGACTCGAGAGTCCTCGGGGTTGCTAGTTATCGTGGAAGATGACGATGTCTCCAATCCTTACGGTATCTGCCTTACCTCTTTTCCTTTGGCAGAGTGACGGTGTGGTTCTCTCAGTTCCAGTAGATATTCTTTTCTCTATCTGAATCAGAAATGGTTAATTAAGTTGCTTAAGAGCGACTTTCTGTAAATACCACGGATAGGTGTGCAAGATGGAAAAATCGAAATCCCCCAAACTTTGTCACAACAAAGCCCTTTGGAAACTATTTTAGAAAATACAAGACTCAGTTCGTTTGACGCAATATTTTCCAAAATAATATATTTTTTAATTTTCACCTTCGAGAGGCCTTCAAACCACCGAAAAATGTGCTTGATACCCTCGCTTCATGAATGAAAACGGAAACTAATACCATGACTTTTCTTATATTAAACAATTTTACGATCCTTCCTTTCTACCTAAACGTTGTTACAATTTCAAAAGATTTCAATCTGATTTTTTAATATTTTTTCAAAATTACCCTCTAAAACAGCATTATCGCGACCATAAATTTTGCCATTTTTCAACGGCGAAAATCCCTTCCTGGTACATGGCTTTCATTAGAAAAATGGTATTCCAGAGAAAGAGCAATGCTTCCCCTATCAATCAGTGAAATAAAATTCTGGGGCAATTGAAACTGCGATTTTTTATAACCGAAAACATTTACGGTACTCGCATGATTTACGACCTCTGAACTTGCTGTTGTATTGTACTTATGTTCCCTCTTGAATCTGTCGTGAACTTTGAGACCGCGTTTAAGCGGGGAAAAGGCGGTCAAATTTGTTGTTTTTGCTAAAATCTAAAGTGTCACCATTTAAAAGTTTTCCTTTTCGTTAAAATACGCACGAAAGTGTGCTATGAACTTCTTGACTACAACACTTCGCTAGTGCGTATTTGTTTACTTTTGCCGTATTTGTAACAGTTATCATATATGTACAAAACGGCTTTAGTGTCGGTAGCTATTCTTTCAAATGCTCTCATTTCTCATGAACCAAATCGTTATAGCTATAAAAAAGGAAAACGTTTTGACCTACCTCACATTATTGACAACAGCACCGAATCCTTTGCTGCCTTTAACGAAATGAGATTGCGTGACAAAGAACTTTGAGACCCAGGTTATACCGCGAAGACACATACCATTCCGAAAAAGACACTCACGCGGTGCCTTCTGTAACTATAAAAGAAAAAAATGTAAATAATCAAAATCCTTAGTTTCACTGACTTATCCGCTAGAGTGATTATGAAAACGTAAGACTAAAAAAATATTCACAAGAGACTACGGAATGGTGGGCCCTTATAGTCTCTTACTTTCCATAAACGCCTGCTTACACAGTTTGAAATACGATTATGAATTCCTCACTTGTATCCTTAGAAAAATGACATTGAGGGGGAAAAAAGCGCTAATTCGTAGTCTGAACTGTCATCCGTCCCTTCCCTCAACCCCCTGAGCGGCGGCAGCCCGTTTCAAGGTGGGGCGAAGAAACGCTGAACATTTCAGTCGACTAGACTTGGCGGGGCTACAAACCTGCATCATTTTAGAGCACCGCTGGTGTTAAAAGCAAAGCTTTCCGTGGTTCTGGCAGCCTCCAGCAAGTTTTGCATTTCTGAGCAACGTTTGGGAAAAATATAGGCTTATGTCAAGCCAGAAAAAAATGAGCAGTTTGATAGAAAATGTCAAGTACGACTGAACCGCGCCCGTATAAGCGCCCCTAATGACTCTGGCAGGGAAGGGGGGGGGAAGGATTTTGAAATGGAGCGAAGGGGACCTAGCTCTAAGTATACCGTCTGCTCTTTAGCTGTGAGTCTGCCTTGGAGATAAATTGCGCTTATATTTTTGAGCAACTCTTTAAGAAGATTGCAAGCCGTATAGTTGCGTCCGTCTGGAACGCTCGAGCGGTGAAACCAATTATCACGTCCCTCGCACCTTGAAAAGCAAAACCCGCGGTTTTTTTTAGAAAAAAAAAAGGAAAAGAAAAAAAGAGAAGGAAAGGCCGTTCGCACTAACTGAAACCTATTGTTTTTTGCATCGCTATTGAAAATCTGAAAAGGAACAGTCTTACACACGTAGCCCTCGGGGCGGTACCAGGTGAATATATCACGTACGCCATCGTTCCAGGTATATAACCTTTACGTAAGCTTAGGATGTAAGACACACTTGTGGATACGCGTAAGCATAACGTGAGATACCCAGGCGCAAAAAAATAACAGTGGCGCTACTAATGTTGGCTCCCCTCAAAAATGAAGCGTATCATAACGTGGGGTTGAAAAGTGAGATATTCGGATATCTTCGGATAATTGATAGCGAGTAATTTCCAGTCCACGGACTTTCTCCTTAATTTTTCGAAAGTATTTGTTCTCTTAGAAAATCCAGAATTTCGAGATTTCTTGATAGTTTTATACATACGCTAATTATGAGATTCCTTTTCTTCTTTCCTAACGATAAGTTAAATCGGTCAAGAAAAAACAGCTTTCAGTAAGTTAAAATAAGTTTTTTGAAGGCGCGATCTTTGGTTTCACTGCTGAGCGTTCCTGACGGGCCCAAATATACGGGCTTGCAATCTCCTTTAAAGAGTTGCTCGAAACTGTGGGCAAAATTTATTGCCAAGGGAAACGCACAACTAAAAAGCAGGCGGTATGCTTAGAGCTAGGTCCCCGTTGCTCAATTTCAGAGTTTCTCCTCCCCACCCAGCCTCCCCCTCCCGCCGGAGTCATTAGGGGCCCTTTTATGGGCGCAGTTCGGTCGTACTTGACATTTTCTATCAAACTGCTCACTTTTTCTGGCTTGACATGTGCCATAACCTATATTTTGGCAAAACGTTTTTCAGAAATGCAAAACTTGTTCGAGGTTGACAGAACTACAGAAAATTTAAACACAAGAGGTGCTCTAAAGTTATGCAGGTTTTCTAGCCCCGCCATGTCTAGTCTGAAATGTTATGCGTGTCTTCGCCCCACCCCGAAACCTGCTACGGCCCCTTAGGGGGTG